GGCACAAAACACCCCTTTACTGTACTCACTGATCATAAAAATTTGGATTATCTTTGCACAGCTAAATGATTGAATTCCCGACAAGCTCGTCAGTCCTTGTTTTTCTCAAGATGCAGATTTGATATTACTTTTTGCTCTGGTTCTCGTAATACAAAAGCTGATGCATTGTCTCAATTGTACCAATCAGATGAAGAGGAAAAATCTCAGGAGGTTGAGAATATTTTGCTGGTTAATGTAAATATTTTTTTTCCATTTGTTCGGAGATAGATGATGAGATTGAGCGGGCTCTACAAAACATCACTATTCCCAGCCATTGCCCCGCTGGTATGATTTATGTTTCTGAAATTATTTGAGATGAGTTAATTACTTGAGTACATTTATCACTCACTATAGGTCGTCCAGGTGAGACTTAAACACAACAATTGTTAAGTAACCGTTATTGATAGGAGTCCATGAATGGTGATGTTCATAAGTTTGTGCCTTCTTGTTCAATTTCCTCTCAGTGTAAAAAGACATTACCTGCAGACAAATTCATGCCATTACCTATTCCCTTGGCCACACATCAATTGATTTTGTAACCGACTTAACTGAATCACAGGGATTCACACCCATTCTTACTACAGTAGATTGATTTTCCTCAAAGTGTTCAATTTATTCCATTACCTTCACTTCCTACAGCATTTCAAATGCCTGAGACTTTAGTGAATCAGGTTTTTAGGTATTTTGGTATCTCTGAGGACATTCTGTCAGATAGAGGTGCACAGTTTACATCACAAGTCTGGTTATCCTTCTTTGAACATATAGGAGTTTCTATGAGCCTGTATTCAAGTTACCGCCCTCAGCTTAATGGGAAAGTGCAAATGTGTTAATCAGGAACTGAGAAAATTTCAGAGACTGTTTTGTCTTAATAATCCTGCAGACTGGTCTAGTTTTCAGATGTGGGCAGAAATCGGTCAAAACTCTTTGATCAATTCAGCTACAGGATTGATTCCAATTTCCAGCTTTCCAGTTTCCAGCTTCCCATTGCCCCATGGATTGGCATGACGTTTGACATTCCAGCAGTAGAGGAAAAAATACAGCACAGTAAGAGGGTCAAGAGGAGACCCACCAGAGAATTGAAACTGTTCTGCATTGTAAATAGGATCATGCAGATCGTCATTGTGGTGAGACTCCCCCTTAGCAGCCTGGGGTCCAGGTCTGGCTCTCAACCAGAGGCTTTAGGTTTGCTGAGGGTAGTAGGAAACTTCAGCCTAAGTATATAGGCCCATTTAAGATATTAAAAAGGATTAACAATGTCACTTTTAAGCTTGATCTGCCTCTTCGCTATAGAATTTCTCAACCGTTTTATGTTTCCCTTCTCAAACCTGCTGTTTCAGGTTCGTTGGATGAGGCTACACCCGATGTCCTGGACTTTAGACTTATTGCAGATTTTTATAGTCAACACCTAGATAAACCAGCTCCTCATTCTAAGGGTCATCTAAACAGGGTCCCTTCCAGTTCGATCCCTGGTCACCTACGTGGTCCTCAGGTCAGGAGTCCATCTGTCCAGCTCCGTGGCAGCTCTAGGAGTTCTTCTCTTTATTCGTCCGGTCGCATGAGTTGTGGTCATCAAGGTCATCACAGTCGTCACGGTCATCGTGGTCAGCCTCGGTCCTTGGCCATCCTGAACTCTTTGGTGGGAGCGGGTACTGTCACGCATCCCTTCAGTTCAGACTCTTTGGTGGAGAGACATCATCTCAGTCCACCTATCAATGATCTGATTCTCCAGATTACTGACTCTGTTTACCTGTTCTCTTTGTCATGTGATCTGAAGAGGTTAGTTTATAAGCTAAAAAAGAAATTGCTTCTGTCTAGAGCTACTGAATGATATTTTCCTGTGTGTTTGTAATCCATTCCTATCAGTTCTGACTTACACACTCTGTTTTTTTAATCTGCCTTTTTGCCTGTTCCCTTTTGTATTTAGTTGCCTGACCCTGTTTATGTTTGTCGAATTTTGTATTTTATCTTGGATATGACCTTTTGCCTGGATTTGACCTATTGATGACAACTTTAGATAACGGACTGACTAGTAAAGCTTCTTTTGCTCTTTTTATCCGTGATCATCTGACTGATTCTGTTCTGTTACAAATGTTTATCTATACATACTGTTTAACTGAAGATCAAAAATTGATATTCCCACATGACAACAAAGAGAAAAAATTCATAAGGTGTACTTATTCATACTACATATTTATCATTTGCACTCCTAATCTTTGTTTTGATTCTGTGGGTTTTTTTGTAAAATAAAGTGATTTCTAATTCTGATTCTGTACTTGCTTTCTTTTCTGTCACAGGTCAAGACCAGGCATATGAGGAGATATGGAATGGCCTACCAACTGACATTGATATTTGGTTGCAAATGTTGTCAGTGGCCCTAAGTGTGTTGCTGCTGATATGTCTCTGATTCAATTCTTTCTGCTTTCAACATGAATAATTTAGTTCCTAACATTTCAACATCCAAGAGGTGGCATACTTTCAGTACATGAATGTGGTGAATGCATGGGTTCACTAATTGGGTAGAATGTGAAGGCAGACTTTCCTCTTGCTCAACCGATACCTTCCACATTCCTGTATGTCAGCGGGTCAAAGTACAGAGAGGTATACGTTCGGATTGTGAGGTAGATTTTTTTTTTGTTCATGTAGCACTGATGAGGATATTTCTTCTTTTTGGTCTGCCATCCTCTCCTCCTTATGGGCCTGTGACAAGTTTGACCTGTGGTCAGTAAAGGGAGCAAACCACCTACTTTCTGTAAAAAGTCCAGTACTCATTGAGCAGGAAATTAGAGGAGGGTGTGACACTGATTCATGATGCATTAGTGGTTAGAGGTGCTATTGTGGCATGCCCCTCCTCATCATCCCACAAACCTATTTTACATTTGAAAACCTGATGGTTCATGGCATTTTGTGCAGTATTCAATACTTATTAAGACTCAATAATAGTCTTAATTCCATCTGTTGCGTTTTCCTTCACAGTGGTTGATTTGCCTAATGCATTTTTTAAGCATACCTATCCACTCTCATTATTGGTCAACCAAGTAAAAGTTGCACTTGGGTTGTTATTCCATGGGATTATTGTGATTCACCCACTGTGGTTTCTGCAACTGTGTTACAGAACATAGAATGTTTTGTTTCACCAGAAGTTGGGACTCTCATCTCCTATTTAGATTATTTGCTTTTGTGCTTCAGTAGAAAATGAGGTTAAAATTGCACTGTTATAATTCCTAGCTGACGATGCCCACAATGCATCTTTGTCTAAACTTGTACATTTGTAAATGTGTATTTCTATTAAGTATTTTTGGGGAAGGTAATTGTTGCTGGTGGTCAACAGTTAGGCACAGATGCAGGATTTGATGTGCAAACTTGGCTATGACTGACTCACATGGACAGATGAAACACTGACCTCTCCGGACCAACTTTTTTCACCCTTGCCTCCATACCGTGTTTGAATCTTCCAGATTACAGTAAATATTTCTTATATTATATATTTAATATATTTAATATATATTTGAATATATCAGCCAAGCCTCAGTCAACACAAGGGCAATATGGAATGCAAATAGAAAGGTTTTTTTTCAGTTTCTCTTATATTTCTCATACTACCTTGTTAAGTTTAATTTTTTTTTAATTTATAAGTGTCATTTATGTAAGTTTTTTTTTCTTTCTGAGTATCAATTGTAATAAGGTAATTCATTCTAAGACTAATACTTCATTCTAATTTACCCACAACTCCTTTAAGTGTTTGGCTCTGGTGTTTTTTGGCTTGTATGTTGTAAATTACCCTTTAAGAAAATGAAAGAAACATTTATGTAATCCCTTACCGGTGATGTTATGACGTAAGCACATGTACACCATATTAGAGCATTTCCAAGAGGTTTCAGTATGACTTGCAGAATCTCACAGAAATCTCAGTCTAAATAAGTAAAGGTGTCAAACAGGTCCTTTGGATAAATGTCATAGAAGAACCAGCTTTGTTTACCTGAATAATCTTTCAGTGTATGTTTCTTCAAAGCACTATTTTTGTAACTGTGATGTGTGCATGTGAAGAGTCTTCACATATGGGCCAATTGTCATACCCATGGGCACCAAAGATAGCTGTGAGAGGCAGCTGGAGGAAGTCATCAGCCACAAGCAATGGCAGGAGGAGATCGACAACCATGGGAGATGGCAGGAAGGCAAGTGTACTATGCCTCTTGCAGCTGTCATCGGTGCCCATGGGTGAGGTGCCTTGGTGCAACATACTATAGGTGTTTTATACTAATTAAAGACTTTTTTTTTCCCCTGCGATATCCTTAATTTTTAAGGATGTATGAATGAGCAAGAACACATTTATAGAAAGGTCAAAATAAAATCAACGATATAAAGTTTAACATGAAAGGAAGTTTCATTGCTCTTAGGGCAATGCAAATATTTGCTAATCTTGAAGCAATGTTCACTGAAGGAATCGTCTTACTTCTAAGTATACAAAGTGAATGTATATTTCAGGTTATTAGTAGTGATAATAATAATAATAATAATAATAATAATTATAATAATAATAATAATAAGTATAATAATAATAATAATAATAATAATAAGTATACTAATAATAGTATACTAAGGTAAGAGTAAGCCAGAAACAGGATTAGCCTACATAGGCTTAAAGAGGAATTCCACTGATTATTCAAAATGTCATATGCTTAATTCAGTGATTGAGATGTAAACAAAGTCATTCAGAGCCATTTGGTGAAATGGTTCGTTGTAGAGTAACATACTGAAGAACTGGAGTCGCAGTGTCTAAAATGTAAAACAGCCATTTTATTTACTCTCCAAAACCAACAGTGAAGCCTTTAAAAACTTAACATACTTACACTTACTCAAATATTCCACAGTAACTACAGTAAAAACAGTAAAAATTATTAAAAAACAGTAAAAATTACATGTTGAAATAAGTCAACAGTACCTATGTATTTATGTAGATACAGTGAAATTACAGAATTGTAACCCAGACACTACTTTTGGGATAATATAACACAACACATATATTTTAATTAATTACATAAAAGTAGGAGCCATGTTTAGTGATATTACAGTGTTACGACACAAGCTAACTATTGCAGCTAGCTTAATGTTAGGAAGGTAGGAATGTAAGCATTCCCATACTGTAGGTGACTACATACTTCCTGTTACAATCAGCAAAGACTTGCTGGAAAAAAAAACAAAAAAACAGCAGTTTATACAAATGTAATTACCCTCACCCTATTACACTTGTGTAATTACAAAATAGAAAATGTGTTGTTACAAATATCAAGCCACCTGTGTTTAATCACAAGAGTAAAAACTGCAGTTGATTCACTTGTGTATTTACATAAGCTGTTGTGTATTAAATTGTGGTTAGTTATGTTGTTGCATGTATTTTTAAGGTGCAACTACACAGTTATAAGAGACACAATATAAGAGGGAGCACAAATCCTTGTATTCATATAGTTTTGCATTCAGTTGTCGCTCGGTTCATACGTAGCCTCTGCATAGTCATTGGCAAAGTTGAAAATATCCCTCAGTGCCATGAGAATGATAACGTCAATATCATTGTCTTCAGTGACCTCCTCATGATAGTTCTTCACAGGGTAGATGCTGTTCACTGGGATGCCCAGGTTATTACTGCTGTGCTGTGTCTGAAGAAATAATATAAACATTTCAATATGAGGATTTATAATTAGTTTATATTTATAATTTGAATTTTTCACTCTGTACTGCACATTATGCATTTTTTGTATGGAATATAATGTGTAATCACACATGATGTAATCAAGTTTACATTTTTTTTTATACTTAGGCTGATTCAGCTTTTCAAATGGTCTCAGATCACCCTGTTTATTTTCTTTTTCACTCCTTTTTTGTGCATATGCGAACACATCAAATAAATTCAGACCCACCTAAACAAACTAAACTTGGACCACCTTCGACTCTGCTATATGGTGAGAGAAACTCATGGCATTGCATACTTACACAGCTAAAATCTTGTATTCCTTAGTCAGTAAAAACAAACTACTCAGGAGAATGCCCACAGTTCTGTATTATCTCATAAAGTGTGATAGCAGTACTGACATATTAAAGTAGTAACCCACAAGAAGTTTAGGGAAAATGACATATGAAAGAACGTAAGGTGCTTCATTAGAAAGGTCCCAGAGGAAAACTTTATTGCTCAAATGTCACTCTCTGAAAGCTCAGGAGATGTAATGGTGATTCTCTTAAAATTTCTTTTAGAACAAATAGCATTAGATCAAAATGAGATATGAGATAGAAGAGAGATAAAGCAGAGTTTAGTTGCGGATGAAACCTTACCTTCTCTTTGATCTTTCTGCTGTGATAAAGTTTTCTCAAGTCTCGGTGCACTATCTCACATGCTTTATCCACTTTCGTCAACACAATGACTTGTGGAATGTCTACAAAATGTAGAGTATAAATAAAGTCACGTGACACATAACATTTGAGGAATTTGAGAAATTGATGCGTGTTTCACACAGCAAAGGATCACAATGATCATTCTCAATCTTACAAACTCGTTACCAAAAAAAGTTGGGATGCTGTGCAAAATGTTGAAAATGCTACAAAGACAATATATCAAATTTTGAAACTGAGAAATGTTATTGTTTTTGAAAAATGTATGCCCATTTTGATGCCAACAACACGTTAAAAAAATTGAGACAGAGGCATGTTCTTCTTAACAGTTTCGGGTCTTCCTTGTTATATTTTTCCTTAATAATGCGGCAAATGTTTTCAGTGGGTGACAGGTGTGCTCCAGTTTAGCACCAGGACTCTTTTACTGTGGAGCCATGCTGTTGTAATATGTGTAGAATGTGGTTTGGCATTGTCTTGCTGAAATAAGGAAGGTCTTCCCTGAAAAAGACAGATGATGTGGGGTCCATGATTTCCAAAAAGAATTTACATGTTTAATTGGTGGTCCACAGGACACTTTGCCACTTTGCCTCCATCTTAAATGAGCTCAGAGAAGGCAGCGGTGTTTCTGGATTCTGTTTATACTGTATGTGGTTTCTTCTTTGCATTTTTGAGTTTTAACTTGCATTTCTGGATGCAGCAACAGACTGTGAATAGATTTCTGAAGTGTTTCTGACTCCATACAGTGATCTCCCTTAGAGAATCATGTTTGTTTTTAATGCAGTGCCACCTTATGACCAGAAGATAGGGGCTAGCCAATAACAGTTTTTGGCCTTGTCCCTTGCATAGAGTTTTCTGTTGGTTCTCCTTTAATGATCCTTTAATAATCCTTAAAGAATCCTTTAATGATATTATGTATTTAATTATGTATATAATGATTTGTGTAGCATAGTACATAATACAAAATGATGAAGTTCTTAGCTATTTTTCATTAAGAAACAATGTTTTTAAATTGTTGCACTATTTGTCTTTGAGTGTTGACCCTCTCCCCTTCTTTACTTCTGAATGACTCAGCCTCTCTGAGATGCTTATTTTAATACCCAAAGATGTTACTGACCTGTTGCCAGTTAACCTTAATAGTTGTGAGATATTCCATTCAGGTGTTTTTTTTTGTACACAGCATTACACAACTTTACCAATCTTTGCCCCATCCTGACTTTTTTGAAACGTGTTGCTGGCATCATCAATGGGCATATATTTTCAAAAAAAACATTTCTTAGTTTGATATGTTGTCTTTGATATGTTGTCTTTGTACTATAGGTTTAAATGATTTGTACATCATTGTATTCTGTTTTTATTTACATTATGCATAGCATCGCAACTGTTTTGGAAACAGGGTTGTAAAATGTCAATTCTTTACACAGAAATAACCAATTGACAATTTATAAATGTACATGTAAATCCCACATTAACCTCAAGCACTGAAGATGCCAAATAACCGACTTACTCAGTTCAGAAGCTTTCTCTCGAACTTCCTTCATTTTGTTAATCACACTCTGATCCATTCTTGTGATGCCATCAGCAGGAACAATGCTCACCACACAGTGAACTTTATCACATGGATTTGGGCAGGGATTGTAGTTTCGGTCATTCTCAGTTATAGGTCCCCGAGGATTAAACTAAAACAGAAAAAAATATATTTCCATGTGTTTTGTGTTTGGTATTTTGGTTCATATTTTGTACATTTGGTATAGATTTTTATAAGCCAGATTTACTAAATATCTGTCAGCTGATATAGAGTGTGCAGAAGCCTTTTTGCATGTGCTCACGAGGGTGCCACTGAGCTGCAAGTCTTAGTGCAACCGGCTTCAAAAATATGGTTAGGCTGTGACTCTATTTAAGCAATCCAATTAACAATAATAAAGGAAAGAGGAAATCCTATAAGCAACCTGGAGCAATTTACTAAGGTGAACGGAATGGAAAATTGTGTGAGGTGCAAATACTTTAAAAATGTCGGCTGACTCATTTGTTATTAAAAACAGGCTTGTCTTCTTGTCTATTTCTGTCCATTTAGCAATCATCTTTTTTGTTGCTTTCACTTTCACTTTGGAAAGAACATTACCTCCTCCCTACCTGTGGAAAGTGACACTGGCAACTATTAATTATTTTAAAAAATAAGAAGGAATAGGGGTGTACATGAGTAACACAAATTTTAAAAAAGTAACAACTGGTGCTAGAGAGAGAGAAAGAAAGGAAAAACATACTGTAAAAACCCACGCTTATTACATTTTAAGGCTTATTATTCAGTAACTACAAGGACTTCAATGCAAACTGGTTGGGCTCTTCTTAGGTTATAGAAGTGTGTAATAAAACTCTGGCCCTGACAGCAGGCCAATGGCCATGTAAGGGTATAACTGTGTAAACTGGGCAAGAGTGTGTACTTACTTTGTAGTTATCTAAAATATGCCCCTCTAAAATTTTGATGATGTCTTCAGTGTGTATCCCTCCTTTGTTCATTTCAAGTCCCATGATGTCAGTGAAAACAACAGGATAATATCCACCCCCATGCTTTTTCATCTTGTGTGTTTTGATCTAGAAACAAATTCAAACGTACTGTATTCAAACATAGTGGCAGTGTGGAGTGAGGAGATCATTATAATGAAGCACCTACTCCCATTTACAAAGACTGTGCATTATGCAACACCCCAGATAACTTAAGGTATTATTTTTGGGGTTTGTTGGCTGCCATTGTTTGTGCTCTGAAAGAAAAGGGAGTTTTTTGAAACAGATTTGTTTATAAACATTTGCAAAGAAGGAAGGATAATATGCATGTTATCCAAATGACCAAGTACAATGAAATTAAGCATATAAACATATATATTTACATAAGCTGTACTACTGTAATCCATCTATGAAAGTGAATACATCAACAGTAGTTACATTGTCGCTACGTATATTGTTAATATGTTACTACATAAGTATTAAGTGTAAGAACTCTTTTGCACACCAACTGTTGTAGGCAGAACAGTGTTTTTGGAAAAATAGTACTTCGCCCTACTACATGTGTAATTACATAATAGAAAATATGCTGTTACAACTATCAGTATACACTTATGTAATAACATGAGTAAAGCTTAGATTGATACACATTTAAATAAACTGTACTACTGTAATCCATGTGTAACTGTACTTGTTAAGACAGACCTATTAAGTACAAATACTGAGAAAATGATTTATTACTTTGAGCTAATGAGTCAACGTTTGAACCTGAAACAAAGAAATATAAAAAGTTCCTATTTGGTGGAAACAGGTTTTCATGCAAAAAGCACTTGAGCCAAACACATGGTTATATTTTACTGGTCATACATTAATGGCGATGTTGCACCTAAATTAATTTGCATGGAAGTTCTTAGCCCGCTAAACTTGCTGTTCCCACCAGCACAAAGTGTCCACCAGTTGTTGATATTTAGCATCTCTAAACCTGCTAGCATATGTCTTTGGGCAAAATTTTGCCAACATTTTTGTTAATTGCTTAGAATTTTCCAAAATTGGCACCGTTAAATTGCCATCATTACATTGATGCAGTGAATTTCAGAGTGAAGGACTGGTTTAAGAAACAATTACATTACAGATTTCTTACTTTAGTAGTGAAGCTTTCTCCACTTTCTGTTGTGCTTTCCAGAGCACTAATGAAATTACGGCCTATGAGGGTCCTCTGGACAGAGTTTATGAAGCACGACTTCCCTGCCCCAACTGGTCCATATAGCAGAATCCTAAGGGGCTCCAGCTGTGGCTTTAAATCTTTCAAGTCTTTCAAAATCTTCTCTTTTTCACTGAGGACAGAGGATTAGAGGTAACTTGTAACCTTTTAACTGTTTAATCCAGTTTTGTGCCTATGTTCTAAAAAAACATACTGAAGATTGGTATTGAACACTGTTGAACAAGTTTACATATATAATTAAAATGTTTGCAATACAAGCATTAATATTTACGTGTACTGTTTACATACCCCCACACACATTTGAAGGCACCATCATGGACACTTACTCTCTATACTGTACCATACATTAGTCATGTTTAGTACTTTGTTGCATATCCTTTGCATGCAAAGACTGCTGCGACTAAGAGACATTACCAGGTTTTGGGGTTCTAGTCCCCTCCAGTCAAGAGTTTTTAGCTTTAAGAACCCCTTTGTTGCAAATTGTGCACGGCAGTTGATGGGCTACATTTGGACCTTCAAGAGAAATGTTTCAAGGTGGTTTGTGTTCTTACCCCCAATTTACTGGTCTCCAAGGATTTATTAGTTCTGAGAGAGGAAAAATAATAAAAAGCATTAGCTGAAGAATTTGTCATAAAATTCATACTTTGATTTAAATAATCAAATGATTTTGTTAATAACGAACAAATGAGATTTACCTGGCGAAGGACCAGGAGTATGATGAGGAGTTGGAGGAGTAGGACGAGGAGTTGGAGGAGTAGTAGGAGTTGATTTCGATGATGTTCCCCCCATCTTTGTCTCTGGAAAATTAGCAAACCTGGGTCCAACTGAACAAACAAATTCAGCATTTTTATAAAAACATGACACCTTATCAGTGTTATTTCTGTGTCATTGTAATAGTTTGTACTGTTTATACATTGCGTCACAATAAGTTCTTTATTAAACACCAGAGCAGAAAGGCACATACAAAATATTGAACTCGCAGGGGAGATCACCACTAGCCACCACTTGCCACTACATAAAACACACAACATAAAACACACAAGTTGAGCTGTTCAGCAGCTGAAGTGTTAAGCAAGAATGGGAAAAAACATTCACTTACACTTTCACTGTCCTCAGTTTCCTATCGATTATTGAACAAATTTGTTAAAAGAATAGGTTCCTCAATTACCTTTCTCTGCTAAAGGAGTGTCGTCTCTCTCTGCAATGAGTGTCAGAACACTTGTTGCAGCTATTTACTGTCACCTTTTGCTTCTAATGTATAACGTCACACATGTCAGTCCACATAACTTCCTCTTGTGTGCTTCTTCACACTTACTATCACTTTTTGTTCTCACTGTAAGTGGTAGACTGCAGTGTGTATTAAAGCTGCAGAGTCAGAACATTATGTAATGATCTGGGATTGTGGGCAGGCTGCATGTAGAGGTCTGCAGTCCCGTGGGTCCCGTCACATTATCTTGCAGTGCGGGACATATTTTCAGTCTTGCATGAAAAAGCGGGCAAGAAACCAGCCCACTGCAGGCAGGAGAGGGACAAAGCATGCATGAAGAGAAATCCTGCAAATTAATGAATAGCCTAAAAAAGTAGAATGATTACTAAATAAAAAAATAATAATAATAATTAAATCATTACAAAAAGTGGTGAAGCAATTGATCACATGAACATCATGATCTTGCCACCTCATCCGAGAACTCTCTGATTGTTCTGTCTGAAGATGCAAGAAGTCTTGGTGTGATTCTGGATGACCAGTTATCGTTCTCAGCTCATATTGTGAACATAACTCGGTCATGCAGGTTTTTCCTGTACAACATTCAGAGGATCCGACCCTTTCTCACTCGAGAGGCTACCCAGGTGCTTGTTCAGTCTCGTGTCACCTCAAGTCTTGACTACTGCAACTTGCTCTCGGCTGGTCTTCCTATGCAGGCCATTAAGCCTCTGCAACTCATCCAGGATGCAGCACCACAGCTTTTCTTCAATCTTCAGTCAGTTCAGTCAGGTCACTCCACTGCTGTGCTCCCTTCACTGACTTCCTGTAGCTGCATGCATCAGATTTAAAACCCTAATGCTTGCCTACAAAGCCAAAAACTGACCAGCTGCTCCCCAGAAAATGGCAATGGTCAAAACTTGAACTGTACCTCAAGACTTGCATGCTTCAGGTACAGCTTGGCTTGACCAGCCATCCTTCAACATGCATGGAAGACAAGCATTAAGACCTTACTCTGTCCTGGAGCCCAGGTGATGGAACGAACTCCCACTGGCTGTCCGAAAAGCAGAGTCTCTCGTGGTCTTCAAACACAGACTGAAGATAAATCCTTGCAGGAGTAGGACTGAATAAACCGTCCCACACAGATCTTTAGCTGCATGTGCAGAGTGTCTTTATTTGGGGTGACCCAATGCTTGTGGTCCCACTTTATATGAAGTGTTTCTAATAAGTGTTAATTACACTTGAATAACATATGCAACAACACTGTAATTACTAATGATTTAGCCAACGTTACAGATGGATTACAGAAGTACAGCCTATATAGTGACACGTGTATCAACTTCAGTTTTGCCTCATGTAAATACACAAGTGTATCTTGTTGATACACTGCAGATCAGAAGTCTTTTTCAGCAGTTAAAGGAAGTATGTTTTACATACCATAACAGTTAAGTTTTACATGATTACTGTGGAATAACTGTGTAGTGATAAGGTGACCCAATCATATCACATTGATCAATATCATTCTGTAATAACACTGTACCTTTATAACAACTACACAGGAACTTTCCTGTAGTGTAGTGTAGTACACAACACAAATGCTAACTAAATCTAAGGAAAGCTGGTAGATACAGTGTAAGTAATGTCTTAATGTAAGTTATTACATACTTATTTTTACTGCTGGAAAAAAAAAATATTCTGAAAAAAAAAAACAAAAAACTGCTGTTCCAGTCTGACTACAAATGTAATTATCCTTGGGTAATTACATCAAGATACACTTGTGTAATTACATAAGATGTACTTCTGCAATCCATCTGTAACAATGACAATCATTAGTAATTACTTTGTTGTTGCGTATCTTGTTCACATGTAATTACACACTTATTAGAGACAATATAAAGTGGGACCACACTGGTCATAAAGACAGGTGGGTACAAACTCTGTTTAGGCAACTGAGACTTCACAAAGGACGATGACAAAGCAAGCTAAATGAAAGAAGCTAAAATGAGCTAATCCAGTCTGGGCAGATCCGCATGGAGTCTCTCTCCTCTGGGATATTTGTGACAACTGTAACACAGGGGGGTCTTGGAGAGAGGGATACATGTGCAGAGTAGTGATGGTAGAAATGTGTGAGAAAATCTTAAACATTTTGATTCTTTTGAAACTGTTCTTTTCGAGGCCGAGGTCTCAAGACAGTCACAAATGCAACTTATCCGCGTCATCATGGACTGGATTGAAATCACTCCAGTCAGAATGACTTGCACTTCTACTGCTTCTGTTTACTACAGCAGCTCTATATGTATTTTATTCTTATGTGGAATTGCTGAAGTGCTAAAATAGCTGGAAATTAAAGCTTTAAAACTGATCATTTTTTTGTTTCTCAATACCATTTGGGAAAGTGTTTAAAGAGAGAGAGAGAGAGAGAGAGAGAGACATTCATTCTTAGTTGGACTTTGTTTGGCCTCAACTGTACTGAGGTTTCAGGCTTTAAGGTTTGAAGATGAATGAAGAATTTTCAATATCAGTTGAATGATGTGAGTAAATAGACTAAGCTTAGCTGGCTGTTGGTTCTATTTCTTTCTTGTATACGCTTTTCTTTATTTAATTTGTAAGTCTGAGATGATGAAATGAACATAATGCTTCGTGTCACCTCCACTCACGCACAAATGACTGCACCCAAATGAACCCTGTCTGAACATGACAGGGAGGAAAAACATGAAAAGAATGACGGACATTTCATTGTTTTTTTTTTTCTTTTTGAAAAGAAGATGTTGGGTGTAAGTGAGGCCTGTTTCACGGATACTACCTCTGTGTGGCTTAAGTAACGTGGAATGCGTTTAATTTCATTTTCACCTCTACAGGTGTGAGAACAAATACACAGCAACAGTGAAATAAATAATGAAACTCAACAAAATAAGCCAAAACTAAATAACAAAACCCATTTTTAATCAAATTTGATGGCTGTTGTTACATATTTTGTTTGAATTGTGGCAGAGGTCTTGGAGGGTGGAAAGGGGACATATGTGTGAAACGTTTATATTTAACATTTTAACAACAAAATTTTGTGACATTTGCCCCGGTTGATTTATAAATTCATAGCTGCATAAATCTTCATTATTTTTATATTTAAAAGCTGAAAGAAGACCCAGGGTGTAAGTCTAATAGCTGACTTTTCCTCAGTTATTAAATTAAAATATTTAATGATTAATTAATTAATCATTAATTAATCTTCCAAAAACACATTTTTTGATATTGTACATCTCTGTCTCATATGCTCTGTTAGAGCTCCTGTGTCTTTACGCTTGCCTCCTGATGAGCCCTGTGTGCTCTGATTGGTCAGCTCACCCACTCTGTTTAGACTGGTCAACCACCACAGCAGTTGAATGCTGTAGCGGCATCCTTCTGCAAGTTCCGCCCCATATGTTCCTCGGATCCTTCTACCCTGAGTAGCTGTAAACGCTGCTGTGGCTGTTCTTATGGTGGTGCCAGTTCTGACACATCAGTTTATCAGTTTATTTACTTCATTTTAATAATCTGATCCAACTAGTCTGCACTTTGAAATGGAAACTTCTAAAAAGCATAGACAAATAAGCAAAAGCATAAAAGAGCAACTCCATCCCTTTCATCATATTACACACTAAAGAGCCATTGACAGGTAAGCTTTGACAGGTACCTTTTAACATGAAAAGAATGTTTGCGACAGTGCAAAACATTGGTAAGCACAAAGGGACAGACTCATAAAACACACCACCAGATTTACTGTGATGTTAAGAGCAGGACCCTCTGGGAGGGTCCTCAAGGAGACCATGTCCTTACAATTGTTTGCTCTACAATGAGGAAATTGGTCCCCATTTTCAAGACCCATAGGGGTAGGGCTGTGGCTGAGCACCTAGCTCAGCACTGCTGCCACTTCTGGCAGGAGGCCTGCACTACCCTTCGGGCTACCTCCAAAGCTAAGAAGCAGCCCACGACTGGGACCAGCATCCCACTCTGAAAAGCGATTCTAGCTTTCCACAAAGGACTCGCCTTTGCATCGTAATTATGTAGGTCCTTTCAAGGCAGTCAGGGGAAATATCCTCATCTCCTACTAATGTTTCATTCCCCTGTTTTTGCACATAAAGTTTTAGTTTTGCCGCCTGAGGTTTAATGAACTTCTGGATGTAATGGGTCTGCTCCCAGCCTTCAAACGCTCACTGTGCTCTTGGACTTGGAGACCTGGATTCAGTTCTCTCTCCAGGTGAGCTGTCGTTACAACACAATTTCCATTCCATTCTTTGAGCTTTGCATATGTAATGCCGAGAAGTGAAACTGGAACAAATTTATTAAGGGTTCTGTTCTGTGAATTTGTAAGTACTGCTAAATAATTAAACTGAAAGTGTTTTGCATTTAGCCCAGACGTCCCCTCTCCTTCTTTCATAAATATTTATTTACCCCCCAACACACTGTTATTGGTTATTTTTATTGCTTGCCATTGTAATAATGTTCCAATACAGTATCTGTATTTAATGTGTCATTATGATATTATAAAATGAAAATGATCTGTAATGAGAATTGTTTCGGAGAAAAGAAACAAAAGACCACGCCTGCCCCAAAAACAGAAATGACTGCACCCAAATGAATCCCCATCCAACACCTAAATGCCGCAGGGGGAGAAACGTGGAAAGGTTGAAAGACATTACCTTTATGTCAAGAAGTTGTTTTGATGTATGAAAGACTTGTTTTACAGATATGGCATCTGTGTCACATGAGCAATGCGGAACATTGTGCTTTTCACTTCAGTGCTCATGTTGACAGATGCAGGCTCACCTCACACATCAAACCATTTAGCTAAACTGAAATATCAGACTACAGACTTGATCCTTTATGGCTGCTCAGCCTGACTAGAAAGCTGCCAAAGTTAAACGAATGCAGCATATTCTTTTATTATGTCTTTATTAAGCTAAATAAAATAACTTTTGACGATTTGCCTGGTTTAAAGCCAGCATGTCTTTGCCGCCTCTCAAGGCAGATGTCTGAGAATCCAAAGAATCTGTTTTTCATTTTATGATGTGTTTGTTAAAACAGTAACATAACTAAACACATCCATGAAAACAAAGGCATGGTTCAGCAGCCATGTGGAAATTGTGTTGCCAGTTT